AACCTGTGTGGTTGTTCCCACTGGAATCACATTCAAAAAGATCGGATACTAGTTGGATTCAGGATCACATACGGTAGTGGCTCAAATCTGACTTTAAAATAAAATCAGATATGTGGCACAGCTGAGTGTTCACACTTATTCTGAAAAGCCTGACCTGGTAACTTGAGCCCAAAACGTCTGATCTATGCCACACAACCCAACTCTGTTATCAGGTTAAATCTGAACCTGGTTCAACCACTTCTTGTTTCTGCTGCCGATCAACAGGAAACAAAGTGTTTCATCACATCTAACTGGTGTCCTCAACCAGAGGTTAGAGGTCAGGGACTGGTAGGATGCTGATTCTGTCACCTGACACACAATGATGCCACAGCCATCCTGACCTCTGACCCTCACAAACATCATCATCCCACCGTATCACACTTTCATCCAAATCAGGATGAAGGTTCATCTATGTGAGTGACCCTCCGTCATGTGACTGTGATGTCACCATGCCTTTATTTTGGGGGGGGGGGGGGTGGGGGGGGGGGGCTGCATTAAGCAGGCTTCCTGTTGTTAACAAAGGGCCCTTCTTCTGAAAGCGGGGCCCCGGTTCCTCCTCTGCTGTCCAACCAGAGGTGTTTGCTGAAGTAAATCTGCCTAAGTCGAGCAGGAGGGGGCCGAGGGGAGTCTGACAGGAGGTGCTGGGGGGATAAAGGTGAATAAAGATAATCTGCTTTTCTTCACAATAAAAGCTTTCATGGGGGGCGGGGCTGAAAAATTAAGAATTCATATCACATGCTGCATTTTAGACTTGATTCCTGACCTGTAAAGAAACAGAACAGCCAGGGGCCCCCAGGGGCCTCTTACACAGCGAAGCTCCGGATTTGGAAACATTATGTATTAAAAAAATACTAAAAACAAGCAGCAGCAAATGAACTGAAATCCAAATGAAAGTGAGGAGTGAGGAGAAGTAGCGAAGCTGCAGACGGAAGGCAGTTTTTAGGAAATTTTCTCATTTAAAAACAAACTTTCAGGAAGTTTTTAGTTTCTGATCGAAGTGTCTGCCGCCCGGGAGGAGGAGCTCCGCGAAGGCCGCCGCCGCCGCGCCTCCTCCTGCCTCGCTTCTTCACCTCCTCCTCTCTGCGCTCAGTTCCTTTTCTGCAGCTCCTTTCATCTGGGATGGCGGCGAGCTGAGCGTCCCCGGCGGCGCTCGCAGCCTCTGAATGGTGATTAAGGAGGAGCGGAGGAGCTGCTTTCTTTGTTCTGCCCTCAGGGAGGGGGTATTTACTGAGGGAGGGGGGCAGATATGAAAGACATTCGGGTCAGAGAGCAGCAGCTCCGACCTGCTTTTAAACCGCTTCATCAGAAAACCATAAAAAGGCCCCCGTCATGTTACTTTAACATGGTTCTGCTCACCAGAACCCAAAATTCAGACAGTTACAGATCCTGGAGTGAAATTAACCAAGTTCAAAGTTAAGTGATAGAATCAATTTGGACCAAACATCAAGCTGAAAATCCCATCCTGACATGACACAGCTTCTTCTGCCAATCACAGGGTTCATGCAGGTTTCACCAACTCAAATTTAAGACTTTTTAAGACCTATTGAAGACCATTATGAGTACAATTTAAGACCTATATCACAACAGAGATGAACAGAAGAAATACAGGGGACCAAAACAGAAATTTCTGGGGTCTTTTTGTGGCTCTTGGAAGCAGCTACGTGTTTCTCACATGGCATTTGGCTCGTTAGCTAGCAAGTATTAGCAACTAGTTACCGGTGGCTTTAACCACCGTCAGTCACAGAACACATCTAATGAAGATATCTGCACACAACACAAGCTTTTGCCTGATAGAAAAGTTCATCAACATAAAGCCAACATGATTAGATAGTCCTGATACAAAATTTGAGAAATGTAATTAACATATTTAAGGCCAACTTACATTTTCTTTAACAAATTTAAGACATTTCACAGCCTTATTTTAGATAAATGAGTTTAAGACATTTTAAAGATGCATAGATGTCCAGAATCAGACTGAAGGGACAAGACAGAAGCACAGCTGAAAGGTGGGAACAATACCAAACTCAGGTCAACACACACAAGAGTTTCTACCAGCATGGAGTGTGAGGCAGTTAGTGTGTCAACGTGAACAGGCCTTCTGTCAGCGAGAGTCAGCTTCCATGAAACTCCTGTCAATGTGCACAGAGCCGCTGTCAGCTTGAAAAGAGCTCCTGGTAGCTCCTGTCACATGATAATCAGTCAGTTTCCTTCCATCATCAGTCTGATTTAATGAAGCGAAATTAGAGGGAAGTTGGGGTCGACTGACACATACTGTCAAACAGGCTGCTGTCAATCAGAGGCACCTCCATCTCCCTCTTAATTGTTGGAAACTAAAATAAGACATAAACAATTACATGAACAAATGTGGCCATGGCATAGACTGTAAGTATTTTTGGTCAAGTTTCTCATGCAATTATCTTGAAATATGACAAAACTAACTTACAAGTACCTTCTCAGCAAGTTACTTGTTTTAAGTAAATAATTCCTTAATATTGATGAAAAACTACTAGTTCCATTGGTAGGTTATTTCACTTATAACATGGGGAAATTGTTTTGTCAGAAGTAAAATAATCTGCCGGTGGAACTAGTATTTTTTTGTTATCAAAAATGAATTATTGACTTAAAACAAGCTCCCATATCTTTCTAAAACGTCACTTGTAAAATAGTTTTGTCTTATTTCAAATGTACTAACGTATTTGCACCAGAAACTAGACTAAACATATTTGGTAAGATTTTGTGTTGTTGGAGTGGCCAAAGTGAGGGCCTGGGGGCCTTTTGCAGCCATCAGAACAACTTTGGGCGGCCTTTGATCACAAGTCAAGAATAACCTAAGTTTTAATATTTCACTGATGCCAGGATGTTCAAGACGTAATCATTAAAAATTTAAGGTGCAGTATGAGCTATTCATCCAGGTTTTTGCTTTCAGTTTAATTTAATTTATATGAACCAACATACAAAAATGCAGACCTGGGCACAAAGCATGAATAAACTTAGCAACAGAAAGCAGAAGTGAGGCATATTCTGTTATTATTGCTGATAAAACTAAAACAAAGTTAGAAAAAGACGATCGACCTGAAAAATGTAGAATGTGGTTTGCTGTTTTTTTTTTTATATTCTACAATAATTATACATCACTTGTGAACCGGAATCCAAGTGCTCTGCTAGTTTTTATTAAGATTTTGTGCAGTGGTTATTGTTTTTTTTTAGCAAATAAAAACGTAAAAACTAACATTTGTTTTTGTTATTAAAAAGAAGAAGACAGAAAAATTCAACTTGATGTTTTTGGCCCCCACACTAAAGAGTTTGGACACCACTGGGGTAGAACGTCAGAAGAACAGAACCGTCGAGATGAAAAGGAAGACAAAAACCCAACAGGTTTGATCCGAGCTGATAGCTGACAGAGAGACACTGAGCTGTGGCAGAGACAGGATCCTGATTTCATCCTGAATGAATCAGCTCACTCCCTGCAGCTCCACTGACAGCTGTGGTTCTGGTTCTGATGGAAAGCCTCCAGTCCACTCTGAGGGAACCATCGAACTGCATCACACACAGACACTGACAACACACACACAGAACCATCCGGACTGTAAGCAGTCCCACCCATGACGGCCTCCAGCAAGAAGAACCCGATCAACCTGAGCAAAACGGTCCGCTTCTTAGGAACCATCAATCCAAACCGAGTCAACAAGTGAAAGTTTGTTTCAATCTGATGCAAGAAGTCAAATCAAAATGTAAAAAGAAGAGTTTTTCTTTTTACATTTCAGATTTTCCATCTATTTCAGTTTAATTTAATGTCTAAATTAAACTGAAATAGTTTAATTTCAGTTTAAACTATTTCAGTTCCGTCCTGCTTCATACGAACAAATAATATAAACACAGAAATATATCCTATTATAAATCTATAAATCAAATGTAGTAATGTATTTATTATAACTATAAAAAAGAAAATGTGATTTAAGACTACATTTATTCCAGACATGGCAGTTATGGATAACAAGCACAAAATTATTTTGCAGCCTGAACAACATGTGACACACACACACACACACACACACACACACACACGCATTCAGACAGCCAGCATCGGCGCTCCAGCAGAAAACAACAGACTTTAACAAACAGCTGCAGCCACACAGCTGGATGAGACCTCCAGAGGTGGAGAAGGCCACAGATCCCCTGACCCCTCCAACCCCCAAAAGTTAGATCTGCAGCTGACTGAGACGCCATGAGACGTTCAAAGACACCCGGAGGGAGGGGGACCCGCAGGAACCCTAACGCACAAAGTCACATAAAAACAAGAACCAAAAACTGTAAAAAAAAAAAAAACTGAGTGAAAATGATAAAATTTAAAACTGTGAGTTTAATTTAAATGGGTAAAATTTAAATAAATCAAATGAGAAGAAGTCAGAACCAACAGAGTATATGTTTTCCTTTAACCAAACGGATTACCCCTTGAATGTGTCTGACTATGAAAATAAAGACAAAAAATAAAAATCCAAGCCTCTGATGATGTGCAGTTTTTGTGTTTTTCTTTCATAAGGGCTGATCTACACTTCACGCCTTGACTAATGTAACTAAGAGTTTTATTTTATATTTTCATTTCTAATTCTTTTTTACATTGAAAAAAACCTACATTTTTATCTGCACCTGTCCAGATTATAAAGCGTCTGTTCCAGTTCATTGTGTTAAACAGAACAGATTCTGTATCTAGTTCCATTCACCATTAGTAATTATATATATATAAATATATATACTTTTTTAACTCTAAGGAAAAACGGGAACTCCCTCTAAGAAACAAACAAACTCTGAGTCACAGAGTGACGAGCGGCTCCCCGGACACGCGGTGACCCGCATGCGGAGCTCCGAGTAACGGTCCCCTCCCCGCAGCGTCCCGCTCCAAACTTTCTGCAGTCTGTAACACTTGTAGCGGAGTTGCGGTGTATGTGTGTGTGCGGTCTTACCGCTCTTTCTGCGGGGGTTGAGCTGCTTGCGCCTCTTCCATCGGGGACTCTGGGCCATCATCTCCGGCTGTCCCGGTCCTCCTGCTGCCTGAACAACGGCACAGACACACACACAGTCAGTCCCAGACCGGGTCCGAGTCCCAGAACTCCTGATCCACTCCCAGAACTCCCGATCCACTCCCACGGAGGCGCCCCGCACTCTGCGGACTTTGTCAACACTTTGTTGGCTGGAGAGCGCGCACCGAGCCGCGTCCCCGTCAGCCTGATCTCTGATGAGGAGCGTCTCTGCTGGTCTGACAGGAGGAGGGGACACACACACACACGCTCACACACACACACACACACACTCCCATACAAACACACACAGACACTCACACACTCCCTGTTCCACCTCCTCACCGAACTACACCCAACAACTAACTTGTTGATCTGTCAGGCATCTCCAATCACTCATCAATAAAAGTATAGATGTCATCTTTGAATATTTTCTGCTTATATAACAGCAACATTCAGGCCTGCTGATCTGGAATCAGCTGCGCTTTTAATAGGAATATTTCTGCTGCTTCACTTTCATCCATCCATCCTTCGTTCCATCCATCCATCCATCCATCCATCCATCCATCTATTCATCCATCCATCCATTAATTCATCCATCTATTCACTCATCCATACATACATACATACATACATCCATCCGCTGCGGGAATTAAGGCAGGTCTAAGCCCAGCAAACAGAGCGGCACCTCGGTCACACAGTCTGTCACATACCGGTCCACTCATCCATTCTTTAATCCATCCCTTCTTCCACTCATCCCTCCGTCCCACCTGGAGGCTCTCCTCTCACCTGTCCGCAGGTAGGGCCGTGCAGGTAAGTGCTGCGCTCTGATTGGCTGCGCGGAGTAAACTGTGAGCAGCGGAGCAGAGAGGATGAAGAGCAGCGGAGGGTTCTTCTTACCGCTGTTTCCTGCTGCGGAATCAAAAAGTCCAGCCGGGTCTGGGTGAGTCCGGACGGGTCCGGCCAGGTCTCTCAGTCCGGGTCTGGACCGCGAGTCCGGACTGCAGGTTGGTCCGCTCCGTGTGCCGCCTCCCGCCGCCTGTCACCGCGTCTTTCTGCCTCATAAACAGCCGCGAGAACTCGTGGCCGCACGCGCCACCTATCTTCACGCGGAGGGATAATTGATCAGCTTGTCTGCTCACGCGCTCCGGTCTCTGCTCCATACCTGAAGGCTGCACCTGATTGGCTCACAGGATGTTACCTGAACAGGTGAAGCGTCTCACCTTGTCAGGTGGAGCATGCGCAGAGGCATCTGAGATAATGAGTCACATGTAAACAGCATTGATGGGAATGTCAGAAAACATCAAAGGAAAATATTTTTCATCCATAACAATAGGAAATTAATAATTTCTAAAATTGTCAAATAACATTACATAAAAAAACATAACATTATACAACAATCTACTTAATTTAAATAATCTATTATTATTATTATTATTATTATTATTATTATTATTATTATTATTATTATTATTATTATTATTATTAATAAAATGAATGATACATGTACATATTTTAATCACACAGGAAATGCATAATATTGAAGAAACATCTATTTTTCTTAAATTTCATATTATTATTATTATTATTATTATTATTATTATTATTATTATTATTATTATTATTATTATTATTATTATTATTCCTACAACATAATATTAAACAGCATTAATGTGAAATTAAGAGGAGCTAAATTTGTATTAAGAATTTTTTTTCTTATTTTTTTAATTTATATATTCAACCTTTTGCTAAAAAGAGAAAAATTCCTCCTGTGGTGATCGATAGAGTTTGATCAGCGTAACAGCTTTGGGCCTCCAGGCCTGAGGCTGCAGTCAGCTGGATTCAGCCTTGATGGCTCTGCTGACTCACAGCCAGAGCTGAACACCTGAAGGAGGTCATGTGACATTTCTGAGGTCATGTGACTGTCTGGTTTTACCTTAATCTGAGCTGTGGGGGGTTTATGGTGGTATTAGGGGTGTTTATGGGTCAGAGTGGGGGTTTAAAGGAGTATTACACTAATCACAGTGTAAGTGCTCCCATCACGTTGACAGAGAGGGCAGAACATCTGTCCTCAGCTGGGTGCAGCTGCAGGGAGTTCAGTCAGAAACAGGTGAACACGTCGTTGAAAGCAGGTGTTGAACAGGTAACTGATGGTAATGGAGAACAAATATTAAATTCTCCAGACCTGACTGGATTTCTGCTTGCTGGTGTTTGGCAGCAGAAAATTCTGTCCATATCAGAGTATTTGGACCGATGTGCTGTCAGAGTTACAGAATAAATTTAGCCCTGTGGTGGCGCGTGCAGGTTGATAAAGACCCTCTGCTTCCTGTGGAGTTCTGATGAGTGACAGCGGCTCCCAAACTGGATCTGATGGGAGGATACCTGCATGTTTCCTGGCTAGTGCTTCAATGATTTTCTGCATCCCACAGATAACAGCCTCTACGTTACGATAAGTAACCGTTTCAGCTCTCCATACAACAACGCTTCTGTGAAGACCTCAAAATGCTTCAAAATCCTTTTTATTTTACTTACAACAGCGCTTCCATCTGGAGGTTAAATAGCTTAAGATTCACTACATTTTTCCAGGTCAGCAGCTTTTGAATTTCACTGGACAGAGGTGGGAGAAACTGAGCTCAAATAGATTCAAATTAACAGAACAGAAATGAACCAAAACAACCTGAGTTAAACTCAAATGAACTAAAATAACTTTAATGGACTGAACTAAAATGCACTGGATGGGACAAAACTTAATTAAACTTAATTTAATTTTACTGATCTAAAAATATTTGAACTGCATCAAATTGAAGGGAACTGACATGAACTGAAGAAAACTGGATTAAACTAAAACAAACTGAAATAACCATAATTGGAATAACTCTGGACAGAATTAAAATGCATGAGACCAGAGAAACTGAACTGAATTAAAGTGAACTGAGTTTAGTTTAACTGGTTTAAAATTACTTGAACTGAACTCGTTTAAGCTGAAATGAACTGAAATAAATGAACTCTATTTGACTGAACTGATTTGGATTCAACTGTATTGGGTGACACTGAACTATTCAGTGTCACCCAAAACCTTCAGTTCACACTGAATTGGAACAAACATTAAAAGTGTGTATTGGAAACTCAGAGCAGGAAGTAGCAGTGAGCTGTGGAGGAGTTTCCTGTGCTGTCTGACACAAACACTCCATGTGAAATTCCTGGTTTCATCCCAACACGTCTTCACTCTCACAGCACCGATTCAAGTCAACTTGAAACTCAGGAAGGAACTGAAGAATGCTCTGACAGGAAACATTATCCTGCCACCAAAGCTGACCTCTGAAGGTCAAAGGGTAAGACAGGAGAACTCAGCCTGACTCATGTGACTTGTTGTGACCAATCAGCTGTCTGCTGATGTTTTCACACTTTCAATCTGATCCAAGATGTTTCAGATTGAAACGTCCTCCAGGCTGATCCACCTGACTCGCTCTGACCCTAACAGTGAACTTGAAATTCTGCAGCATGTTTGCTCCACATGTTGGAGTTTCCACCCGAACAGTTTCGTCAGCTCTCTGATGCTCCTGCTCCACACTGTGGAGGTGCTCCTGCAGACGGCTGATAACCGCCTCTGATCAGGTGACTCCAGGTGATAATCGGAGTCTGTGGGAGTCAGACGGCAGATTATGGTCCAGGTGCTGATCTGAGAACAGTCTGAGTGGGCGGTTTGATCCTTCATGGCTGTTAAACGGCGCCTGGGAGGAATTTTACGCTTCATACAGGTTGTTCTGGTGACATGTTGTGTCTCCTGCAGAGCATCAGAACCTTCACACAAACATCAGCTGACAGAAAGTTTTACTGATGGAGCTGTAACTCCAAAAGGATGAAGATGGAAACAAATTAAATCACTTCAGACTAAGATTCTTATCAGGTAAGCTGCAAAAGATCAGGGATGTGCTTGAACAGATGGCCTGCAGTAAGTTTGTTCTCTTTCTGAAGCAGCTCTTATCTCCATCAACAGGAAGTCGTTTCACAAGTCAGAGCGTTTCACAAGACAAAGTGGTCAGCAACTTCTCACAGGTGAGGTTGGCTGAATGAGGAAGTTCATCGCAGTTACCTCATTTCACCATGCCACAAGGTGTCCCAACAGCTGGGAGCGTTTCACACATCTCAGACTAAAAGGTCAAACTTCACTTGACTTAAGAAAAGTCATTTCACCAACAGGAGCTGCAGAGTTAAAGGCTGATGTCACAATAGAAACTCACTGACCTCATAGATTTTGTAAGTGAGACTCCAGGTGTGGGGAAATAAGTGAAGAAACAGTAACATCAGTAGATCTGTCCAAGATAGATAGATAGATGGATGGATGGATGGATGGATGGATGGATGGATGGATGGATGGATGGATGGATGGACGGACAGACGAACAGACAGATGATAACCTCCACAGATGTGAATTCTCTGGTTTTTGCACATCTGCAGGATTCAGATGTTTATTCCGGTGGTGATGGTTGGATTAAACTGTTTCCTCTGATATTGTGAACCAGTCAGCTGTCTGGTTTGTAAGTAGAGGTTCTCCCAGAGCCGTAGCCCCTCTGACAGATGTTCTCTGGTTCCTCTGTTTGCACATAAGACAGAAAACTCTGGGTCAGAGAAAACCAACAGCTCATCAAACAGCTGAAAGCTTCAGCAGGGAAACTCCACCGCAGCTTCACGTTCTGCCTGCGCTGTTGCTCCGACTGCAGCTCCAGACGTCCCAGCTGCAGCAGGAACACAGAGGGTGAAACAGGGAAATGATGGGAGTTTAATGGGGTCAGAGGTCATGGTGAGTACGAGCATCCTGACAGTTTTATGAGCTGAAGACTGAGGAGAAGGAAGTGCAGCTGGCAGAGAGCCCAGAGCCTGCAGGTAGCTACAGACAAAAACCCAGCAGGTCGTGTTCTGTGTGCTATCTGTGATCCATTAAGCTAAAGTGTGAATGAAAAACATCCTGCAAACCATAGAAACAGATTCAGGACAACAGAAGCTTTTAAAGAACTTCAACTGGCTTTATTCATCCAGTTATCACATAAAAGTTCACCAGGATATATTAAACCAGTTCAGTCAGCCTTTCTGGACTAGTTCAAACGAGTGCATTAAACCAGTTTATCTAGTTATTCTGAACCAGTTCAACAGACTAGAGTAAACAAGTTCATTAGGTCTTTCTGAACCAGTTCACTTTTTCAGAATAACTGAAAAATTCAGTTTTTTCAATTATTCTGAAACAGTTCTTCAGGTTTTTTGAACAAGCTCACCAGGTTGCATTAAAGCAGTTCATTAGGTCACTCTGAACCAGTTCATAATTGTGCATTAATTAGTTCACCAGGTTATTCTGAACACATTAGAGTTATATTAAACTTGTTTATTAGATCATTTAGTCATACAGACTAATCTACGTTTATTCAAACCCGTTCCGGACATTAATAGTAAACCAGTTTATTTCATATATTGAATCACTTTATAAGGTTATGTAAAAGCAGTTCATCAAGTTATTTCGAATCAGTTATCAGGTTAAGTTAAGGTAGAAAATGATAAATGAATCAGTTCATCAGGTTTTTCATACAATGAGTTTGTCCGATTCGATTAAACCAGTTCACTGCATTCATTTATTCTGAACAAGTTCCACAGGGTAAATAAACCAGCTATTGGCTCATTGTCTCTTTGGTATTTTCCACATGTCAAAGGTTTTCCGAGTGTTTCCTCTGGGCTCCAGACGTCACAGTGCGTGTCGAGGTTTCCCTCGTGTCGGTCGTCTCTGTGATCTTGAAGGATGAAGCCCAGCCCTGGCAGTCGACAGGCCGTCCTCTGACTGACTGGCTCCTCATTGTGTGTGACAGGTTACTGAGCGCGCTCAGACTGCTCACCCCCCCACTCTGGAGGCTAACACAGGCTCATCAGAGGAATTCTGGGGGAATTTATGCACCGTCTCCAGGCTAATTGAATTAGACGCATGGTGTCGACAGTGTGACCATTGTAAAGGCTGCACAATGTTGGGCTTCATCGTCCAGAGCTCAGGGAGGAACACTGCTCCCCCCCACAA